GGGAAAATTTATCTTCATCTTACTATTTATCAAAAGTATGAGGCATAAAAATTCCAAAATGTATGTCAATTTTATAAAAGTATTATTTACAATACTAAAATAATAATGTTCTAGGTTTTATTATTATTACTAATATTAGTGAACGAAGTTTGAGTACCAATATGTTATTGAACGTGGTACAAAACCAGTTCACACCTTTTATTATACAGCGTAAGAATAAACGCACCTACTGGATCTAGACAACCTTCACAGTGAATTATTTATTAAAGCGTATATTTCTATATTTTATTAATATTTTTTCCCTTTTCCAATTACATATTTTACAATTTACTAATCCCACTCACACTAGCGGTATTATTTATCTTTGTGACACTTCATTACAATTATTGTTGGGTTTCTGATGCTCAGAAACGAAAAAAACCGACTACCTACACACCAACTGTAAATCCTTTCTACCAGCTTTAAAAAAAAATGTTAATATTATTAAACTGTACATATATTATATTTTTTTTCACTCATAGATTATTATTATTGTATACAACATTTTTAAGAAGATAAAAAAACATTTTATGGTTTTTATTTTAAGCATATTTAATCCATAATTATATATATGTACTATTTTAAATATACTCCACTTATTTGTAATTTACTATGTTAGTAATCTTTTAACTATCCATGGGAACAGGTAGAATTTCGTACACTGAAGTATTAAATTGTTTTTCAATACATTTTCTGGCACACATTATTTGAAGACCATTATAAAAACACTAGTATAACATAGATATACAATTTTTTATTATTAAATCATCGTGGTCTTTTTTTAACACTTTTATTAATAATCATGTTGCTTTATTGATAATATTTCCATTAAAATGATTAAATAGTTAATTATTGACATATAAAAACCATTATTTTATTTTAAATACTACTAACATGTAGGCACTAAATACAACATTTATTTTAAATACCGGTAGTAAAGTATGTATTTGTGATAAGTGGCTATTATTTTATTTATTTTACGTTTGGTTTTTATCGTTTTATCCGCCCAATACAACCACGTTAAAAATAACGTTTGTGGTTAATATAGTTATTATGTATGTAAGTATAAGATGTTTGTGGTAAATCGCCTCCTTAATCAATCGGTTAAAATTAAATTTATCTATTATGATACATAAATTAGAGAGAGGAATAGCTATAAAAATTAGGTTTTTTTTTGTAGACAATATTTTTTTAAATTATTTTTAATTATATTTTATACACTACTAATGATATTATATTAATATTTAATATGAAAATAGTGTCAAATATTAGGAAATTAATTTAATGTAAGGTACTGATTATTATTGTAAAAAGTATCAACTTTTTATTTTTTAGAAATGTTGAAATTTAAAATAATCTAATTATTAACAATTTATAACTCTAATTTGCTATTAATTTTTGCCTTCTGTCTGGTAATTTTAGAAGTATATATCATTTGAAATGAAATTATTAGTGATACGTTTTCAGTTTTTTCGGTTCTTATCATTTCACGTTCGATTTATAATTTACAATTAATTTACACTCTGTATAAGTCAATAAAAGAATGCCCATATCAATACTATTACTTCTACTTACCTAATCTTATTCCTTTTTTTGTATTATAATTATATTATTTTTTACTTAATATTGTGTGGTTTTATTATTACTTATTTTTAATGTATTTATTCATAAAGCCCTAGCAAGTATAATATATATCAGCTACCAAATATTTATATTTCATAACGAATAGATAATTTAACTTAATTGTACTTAAATAGTTAGACTACGACTAAAATTTTTTGAATTCAATTTTTGCATGAAAATATTTATGAAAATCCTTAAATTTTAAAAATTTAATTATATAAAATAAAAAATTAATTAAAGCTTATATAATTTAATTTATTCTACTTTGTTTTAATTCAAAAAATATTATTCTTTATTTTATATTTTTTATAAATTCATTTGGAAGTGATTTTTTTTTTAACTTGTGTGACTAAACTTTCATCATTATAATAGATAGAATTTTCTAAAAATCTATGCATTTGAAGAAGAATATTTTAATGATATGAAGCTTTGGTTATCAAAAATTAGTTGATCATATAGGTGTATATATATATATAGGGTATCTCAAAAAGAAAGCAGGATTTAAATCTGCAATGAATAAAATTTATTTCTTTTAAAAAAACATAACAAATATATAATTTTCTTCTGGAGAAGTTAAGGTTTAATAGTGAAAAACAATATTGGAAATATGATCATCCCTACTAGCCCTACAGGCGATTATTCTTTCCATAAAATTTAAAATCATCCGATCACACATTGCCCCATTAAGTTCGTTGAAGACACGAGAAATTCCTTGCTTAAGTTCCAAGATATTTCGAACTTTGTTCTGGTAAACTCGTGACTTAGTGTATCCCTATAAAAAAAATCACATGGCGTCAAGTCGCAAGATCTAAGTGGGTAGCTTTGGTCTCGACGCTATGAGATTAGTCTGTGCAGGAACTTCTCACGCAGCAGAATGATTGTTTCTCTTGAAGTATATACCTTTGATAGATAAACCTCATTAGTTGTTATTTGTGTTTATAACTCGATTCATTAGACAATACTACAAACATATACCTAAATATATAATTTTAATTATATTATAATAGATAAATAGAAAAATTGGAAGTAGTTCCTGTTTATTTTACGTATTTGTTTTACAAGTATACCTAAGTCTTATACTTTTTTGCATACCAAGATTCAACAGATTAGTACGGAGAAGTTACATCTACGGCAATATTTTTGTAGTCTTATTGCATTACTATTTTAATATAAAAAAAAATATATATGTTTATTAGTATCATGTACTAATATATAAACGTGTATTAATCCACGGTACGTGCTGTACATAATATATTTATCCAAAGGCGTAGCCAATGAAGAAAATTGCCCTCCTTGACCGTACTTAAAAATAATATTAATTTTTAACGAAAATTTAAGTTGATATGATCCAATATTTTAACCGTGTTATACTGAAGTCTTAAAATGATAAAAATTCATCATAAACCGCGATGAACACATATTTATCATAACGAAATATATACATATTACGATAATATTAATGTAAAGCCGGGATCAGGCTTCTTATTACATCGTTTTGTCTAATAAATTAAACCCGTGGTTTTGTGTCGTTTCATACACGATTTAAAGTATATATAAGAGACTAAAATATACATATGAAATGTTAATAAAATATTTAAATACTTTCTCGTACATTAGTACATTTTGCATGCAAAAAATTGAAATTTATTTTAATAGGTATTAAATAATGGTTATTTTTTTATAATAATAATAATAATAATTATTATTATTATTAACTGTAATATTGTAAATACGAGGAGGTATATTATTTTTTAATTTTTATAAAAATGACAATATAATATTTAATCAATAAATGTTATGAAATAAATAATAAAATAGTAAATAATAAAAAAATAGTAGACATAGATAATAATATATTTTTATTCCTGTACCCACCCCCATAAAGTCATTCTGGATACGCCACTGCAAGGGGGGTTTTGAGTCCAGACCTCCCATTGAAATTTCTACATACTCAACGGTTTAATAGCAATTAGTATAATAATAGTATATAGTGCATTTTAATTTCCCATTACCTTCAATATACAAAATTTATAGATTAGGTATATTATATATCTATAATGTATAAACCATGCTATAGTCTATGAACAGTAATTTGTTAGTATTGAGTTAAACTATAATTATAATTAGAAAACAGATAAAATAAAAATGTTGGACCCCCCGCCATAAAAAATTCCTGGGTACGCTCCTGGTACATGCTGTACGTCGCGGAACACATTTAACTCGTGTATTATTATAATGCAGGAGACGCGTGAAATATTATAATATATTCTTGCGTCACGTACACCCTGGAAACGCGCATAGCTAATAACCGTAATAATAAATAACGAAACAATATTATCAGGTACGTGGATACCCAGCACCGCGAATACTTATAGCGCTGCGCACACACATTATGGTGCGCATACGAGCATAAATAATAGGTACCTGTATGTGTACTCACATACGAGGCAATAAAAAGAGGTAAACGCGAGTCACCTTCTGCGCGCGTATTGGCCGTGTATACGGGTAGGTACGTAGGCGGCGGAAGACGATCATATCGGACGATTTCCAACGTCCAATATCATGTATTATGCATGTCCGCTACATTATAATAAAAATTATTATGTTTTTGACACGGTCGCGCGCGTATACGCCGCACGTTTTTATTTTTCGTACACGCGATGTATACCGCGCGTACCCAATACGTGGAAGAATAAAAAAAAAAAAAAAAACCGTCATATCGTCGTCGAGATGTGCGCGGCGGACGAGTAATGTATATAATATTCCGTAATATCGTGCCTTGACGTACACACTCGTATATTTATTAATAATCAGAAATCCACGGTTGTCTAGTAGATTTTTCCGTCCGTGTACGTATAATTTTATTTTTCTTCTCAAAAACCGTTTCTACGGAACGACTGTCGTCATCGTTGTCGTAACGTCGTCACGGTCCTCTCAATGTACCACGTACGACGCGGCGACGGGCCATTCACTACCATTGTGTTGTTCACGCGCGTTTTCCCGATTTATTATTATTATTATGTGTACACATATTTTTATTATATTCGTTTTTTTTTTTTTTTTCCGCTTTCGTTCCCATCCGATTTCTTTTCCAACAGCCCCTCCGCCTCGCTCTGCACGTCGTAGTACTACGCGTACGTCGGTTTCGGGTATAATACAGGCACGCAGCCGGTACAGGTACACACGGCGGTCCCAACAACAATACGTCGCGCAGCAGCAGCACATTATTCGTTCTCACTGTGCGGCGGCGGCGAGGTGGTGCACCGAAATCCGTATAACCGGCGGTAACAATGAGTTTGTACTGCACACGCCGACGTACGCGAACGTGTGTGCGTACGTACGCGCGCACAATAACACACGGAATACCGGCGGCGGCCGGGACACCGGGGGTTGGCAGCCGGTCGAAGAAGGAATCCCGCGAGCCGACACCAAGTCTGGGACGTCGAGGTGTCGGTGCGGGCGCGCACGCACGCGACGCGCGAGGCGACCGACGGCTTTCCCCTCCCGGCGTTCGTCGCAGCCAAGGCGGCTGCGGTGCCCGTTATACACGACCGGTCACACCGATTGGCCCGACCACATTCCCTTCCGCCGCCGCGAAGCCTGTGCGTCCGCATCTCGTTCGGCACCGCAGTCCGCTGGTACATAACGTTTAACGCGCTACGTCGTTTTGCGCGCACCTCCTCGTCGATAGCGAACACGCGCGCCCGCCCGCACACGCACTCACCGCCGCCGCCGCCGCCGCCACCGCCGTGCACGTAACCGCGTTCACCGAGATAGACCGAGATTAGAGACCAGTTGTTTTCCCGTTCCGATAACACGCTCGTCGTCGGACAAACGGATCACCGGTCTCGTTGTTACGCGCGAGAAACAACGGCGCGGCGTACGTGTTTCTGGTACCCGCCGTTTGTCGCCGGAGCGTCAACGTTTCGCGCGCGCCCCGGCCGTTTGCCGATTCATCGATCGCGCGGGGCCCCCGCCGACCGCTGTTGATCATCCGCGATCGCGGTCGTCGTCTCCCCGTCCGTCGCTGCAGCCGCCGCCCCGCTGTAAATGGTAATGTTCGCTACGGTAATGTCGCAATCGTTTTATTACACACTTTAACGCGTCATGTCGTCGTCGTCACCGTTTGCGTTGCGGTGCGTTTGACCCGTGGTCTTATCCCGTTTTCCCATCGACGCTTTCGATTTCGTCCCGGTCACTGACAAACGCACTGCGAATAAACGGTGATCGCCTTCGACTGTCCCGCGGTTCACACGTACATGATCTGTTGTTGACCACCTATAACTAACGTGACATTTTTACAGATCCATCATGGGAAAATAGTAACGTAGCTGATTATTGGTACCCCGTCTTGAGCTCTTTTACAATGGTCGTTGCCAACAGAGTTCACTATGTTTGGATAGTATGGACCGTTGTTATAGCAGGTAATATACACTTGTAATTCTCTTTTAACGTTGACTAACACCGATGTACTCAATTCTTAATAAACTGTTTTCTCTGTAAATGTACCTGAAGACTATTCTCATTAAGGTATACCTATCTCAAGACATGTTCAATATATCTGATGTTAGGTTTTACAATTGTATAAGATTTTGTCCGTTTTCAGTAAAATTTATTGAGTATTTGTTTTCAAGTGTCAAAATAAGTAAGCCTCAACTTGTATAAGTTCTTTGTTTAACTAATTATACTAGTATAAATTCTAATAACTTTTATTATCAAACTGGTTTCTGTAGACAAAGATAAGATAGTTCTTATCTAAACTATAAATTAGTATTTGTTTTATTAAAATAATTTTTGGTCATTGTTTAGTTAGTTTTTGCTTGTTTAATACTTATTAAAATAGGTAATGTGCTCACAGTCCATACAAATAGTTAAAAATATTGTCATTTGTTTACTTTATTTTTTTCTTGATTTTGAATTATGTTAAAATAATTAAATAATAGTTGTAGTAACACCATTTCATTACTATTGAAATACATATCCATTAGAATCATATATTTAATTTAAATTTGAATTTAAAAACAAATCACAATTATCTTGAATTTTATTATAAATGCTAATAAAATTTATCTAACAAAACCGACAAGGTATTAACTACCTCATAACAAAATATTGATAAGGTCTGCTACAGTTTTATTCAGACTTTTCAGTATTATTAACAATTATTATTTAATGAGTATTATTTAAACTCATCAGATTTATCTTAAATGTATATTAAAAAATACATAATTAAATCTTTATTTTGTTAGTGCAATGGGTATAATAACTGATCATAACATACAAATAAAATATTTCATACTATTCATCATACAATTATTTTATTAAGTGCTTTACAAATAGTAGCTAAGTTAGCAGACCAACTTAATGACATAATTTGTCACCAATTTGTTAAAATGTACAGATTTGAATACCAAATTTTATTTTGTTATTCATTGTGACACATTGTGACATAATAAATAAGAAATTTTATTATTTTTTAGCGTACTCCTGTATTTCCGTACCATGCTCCATGCATCAAGAAAAATGTTCTTCTTATGAAATTAAAGATAATGAATCTCAGTGTAAAGATTTAGAATTATATATCGCGTGTATGGAATTATTTAAAGGAAAATGTCGTGGAGAAATCAGTTATCATTCTGTTATGTCAGCGTCAAAGATAGAGTTTAAAAAGAGATGCGATGAAAACTTGCTGAGAAACAATATTAGTGAACATTCCCAATCATTGACTCCATCTAATCGTAGAAGTATTTGTCCTTCACTGTTTGATGATAAAAAAGAACATAAATTTTGTGGCTTATTTGGTGATCCTCACCTGAGAACATTCGACGGCAGATATCAAACATGCAGGATTCACGGAGCTTGGCCAGTGATAGACAACCCATTTTTTGGTATTATGGTGACAAATGATGCTGTTTTAAATAGTACAACAGCAACAGCTCCAACTAAGGTAATTTATTAATTAATAGAATAATTGTATATAATATTGTTGATTTAAATCTATTTTTATTTCTAGTTGACAGTTATGTTAAAAGCACATAAGCCAGAGTGTACTCAACAAAAATTGTATGAAGCTCAAGGAGATATTCCACTACCAAGTACATTTGAAGACAGTACTACATCATCTGGGCCAAGTTCATTACGAACGGTTTCTCTTTCCTGGCGTTCTAATGACAACATCAGCGAGACAGTGATTATACGATTATCATATATTTCTACTATAATAAGTGTTACTCGTGTTGGTAAATATCTATCTATTTCTGCAAAATTGCCAGATGAACTAGCACAAACATTTAATCAAGAAAAGAATGAATTATGTTCTTCTGGTTGTCCAGCTTCTGAACAAATAGATATTAAGCAAGTTACAATAAGTGATTTAGATCGGGTGTTAACTCTATGTCATAATAGTATTGGACCTACTGAACATAGACTTACTGATCAGTATTTAGATTGGTGTGTGTTTGACATGATGACTTCTCACGATGAACAGTTCATTAATGCTTCACATGCAGCATATTCTGATGTACTGTTTTTTGAACCACGATCTTTGTTTAATAGAACTGTTAGTATATTTGAGTTTAATCCTGCATCAACAGATAGTGCTTGTTGTACTAATAGATTAAACTTATTTATTATTTCTATTGTAACATTATACAATTTTCTTTGAGTGTTCCTAATTTTTTAGTTAAAGTATTTCACATTTTTCCCTCGTTTAAATAAATTAAACAGAAATAATTATTTCGATTTAAGATCTTCCTCCTGATTTTTATTTAATATATTGATTAATTGGTTGTCTACACCTATCTAAAGTTCAAAAATATTAGCCTAATTATTGATTTCATATTATTTTAAATTTATCCTTTACATTAAGTATATTATAAACATTTTTTTTTTTACCTGACAGAATTTTTTTTAAATTTTAAATGATTTTTTCTTTTTATAAAAATTTAAATATTACTCAAATAAAAAAAACTTTAAACGGATTAAAATGTAGAATAATTTCTCTTGTCAAATAAATGCATGATAATATTAAATATATGTACAATTATATTTTTCCACTTAAAATATTATTTTAACATACTAAATAATAGTATTTTTAATTTTGACTTTATTTGAAATATTATTTCGGATGGATTAAGTATGTCCAGCCATAAGTTGTGTATATAAAATAGTAAATGATTTAACTTAAAAACTCAGTTACATTATTTTTATTTTAAAAAATTATTGATTGGTAAGCTGTTCAAATCATTTTTTTTTTAATGTTACCAACTGTATAAATTGATGTAAAAAGAAAAAAGATTATAGGTATCAATAAATATAATTTATTTAGTACAATATGCCTGATCCTAGTCCGAATTTTGTGATTTTATTTTTAAATAATTTTAAGTTTTTTTTTTTATATTTAATTATAAAATTGTTTAGAATTAATTTTTATACCTGAATACAATTTTGCTTGTTTGTTCATATTTAAAATTATAGGTGGTGATTTGTGGTTATGCCAGTAGGCCATCAATTATGTTTTGTAAGCTCATATACTTATGTTATATTCTATACATTTCTTAAAATTATTAATATATATAATCATAAGTAATATTTGTAATACAATTATTAATTTATTATGTATTATAGTGGTAATATATACAGTATTATTATAATTATTATAAATTATTATAAATCTACAGTTTTGAAGAAAACACAAAATACTGCCAAATATTTAGATTATTATTAATATTTTTGTAGATATCAATAAGATATACTTTATATTTTTAATTAATAAAAAAAAAAATATGAACAAATTACTTAACAAATATATATTTATTTATACATGTATTTTGTTGTCATTTATGTGTAATTGAATAGATAAATAGTGCAATCCTTTTAAGATAACTACTTAAATTTTAATTTGTTATATGTAATGTCATCTTTAAAATTATGAGTTTCATTGTTTTTTTCATAATTTTATAATATTAAGTAATTACGGACGACGTTTTCTACGTATATTACCTATGTACATTTATATAGTAGTCATACTTATACTTATACTTGTCATCAAAATGTATTAGTTATATTCTACTAGAAAATTTAAATAACCATAGTTCTGTTTACCAATAATTATCTTTGTCAATTTTATTTTATAAGTATTCATTAAAATTTATAAATCGGAATCAAAATTGCGAGTTCAGCTGCTCATTCATTAATTTATAAATCATAAATTCATAACTCATAAGTAGAGAATAAATTTTTAGGTTCTTAAAAGTTTGAAATATAAAACTAATATTCTCTAAAAAAAAACCTTAAAATATTATTTGAACATGTAAAATATGCTAAAAATATGTTTTTATTTATATTTTAAATAGATTATTAATTTGTACATAAGTTACAATAAGAAATATTTACATTTACCACTCATGTTAAAAATTTAAAATATACTGAAACTTGAAAATCAACCATCAATTTCAAAATATGTATAATTTCTTTGGTAAATGATTTAAACTTAGCAATATATAAAATAAAGGTTATAAAGACATATTTATGACAAACAATAAATAACTGTTGTTTACCATACCCAGTGGCTGATTGAGACAATTGATATTAGGAGTATACATATTAATTTAGACCACCCACCTATATTTTAAACGGCTACAACTCGTTTGCGCACATTTACCTTTTTTACAACTCGTTTGTGCAAAAATGCACAACTTGATTGCGCACATATATTTTGGCTTCTTGTAACGAAAATCCCTAGTATCAGAACTCGTTTGCTTACTATCGTTGATTATTATAATCCTCATGATTATGAGAGTTGGTTACTTTTATTATTTTGTTTGATTTATTAACAATAACACTCGCAGGACATTTTTTATTAATGCATCTTAATTCATAAAAAACAAAAAAAATGAAAAATGTAGAGAAATATTTCCCGTTAGCGCAGCATGAGTGCTTTTCCTTTGTCACTATTTTTTAATAGATTTATAAAGTTATCATATTAAAATTTCTACTAAAAAACGAAATATTTACATACCACACAAACCCCTAGTTAAAAATAAACCAGAAATTATTTTAACCTGAAAAACCACTGGTGGACGTTAAAAATAAAAACGATTATTGATAATCACGAAGAGAAATCTTAAGATTTTACCCACGTACTGGACTTCGTCGTGCGCAGAGTCATCGATTTTTAGGTAAAAAATTTTGAATGTGCGTAAACGAGTTGTATCGATTTTAAACACTACCGCTATCACGAAGGGCGCCCGCAGGGAGGACAGGGACCATGCGCTCCTCCGCTATTTTTTGGCCACAAAAAAATCTAAGGGGGGGAAGTAAACAAATCATTAGTTATATTAGTTATATTTTCGAATGGTTACTATGTACGTTTTTACATTTGCCCCATAATATAAGTTAAGATTAGGGCTGACGTAAATAGGTAATATAATATAGGTAGGTAGGTACGCAACAAAAAATTGCTGGGGATAATGAAAATAAAACAAAATAACAATGTTTTAAGACAAATTAATTTATTCTTAATTATTTGTTTACATAAAACAGTTTAGGTAATTATTAGTGATGGACATATCTGGATTTCATGGATTATCCGAATTATCCGGATTATTAAATTCAATTTTTCTATTTAATTACAAATACTATTCCTACAATATATCTCTACATGATTCTTTTTAATACTTAAAGATAATTTTTATTTGATAATTATAAGAAAACTTGTCCGTGTAAATAATTACATCGATAACAATTATTATTGTATCATTCTTATTTTGTATTATATTATAAATTCAACTTATCTTCAGAAAATTTTATTCAATAACCATTCATAGGTTATGCAGTTAAGATAAGGTAATTGGGTATTCAGTCATAATATCACTGTAAGCAGTATAATCTTTAATTTAAATTTTAAAAAAAAGGTTATATGGACGGGTGTCCGGATAAAATCCGCACCGCGCCGCGCCGACCTCTCCGACCTAGTGGACGCTCAGCTTAAGTCAGAGAGATATAAAGTAAACCCAACAATTTAATAAATTGTAATTTTGGTAACTAATGATACATTATAAAAACTGCTGAAATCATGATAAGTAAATTGAAGTTTATAAAATATAATATTAATTTGTAATTGCAATAAAATAAAATAATTTATTTTACTAGAAATTAAAAATAATTATAAGTTATATGAAAAGCAAATTCATAAATCTATATAATCCGGATACTTCGGCAAATCCGGATAAGAATTTGATTCAAATCCGGATTTGAATATCCGGATTTCATTCCCATTCCTAGTAATTATACCTGTTTTAATAAATAACATCCTATTTAAAGTTTAAACTATGTATGTTCATAAATTACTTAAATTTTAATGAAAGAAGTCTATATAGTTCCAAAATTAACAATAAATATAAAATAAAAATTCTATAATAATACCTATAAATTATAATATCTAACAATCAAACAGTGGGTTACCGTTACCTAGCTATAATAGTAAAATTAAAAACTAAAAATACAACAAAAAAATGTAGATACATTAGCTTTTTGTATTCCATATAAAAATTGCTTAAATGTTAGTATAATCAGTATTTATCAGTAGGTATCCAACATTAACAATAAATATAAAACAAAACTTGCACTTTTTGAAATACCTAGGAATTAGATGTAACAATAAAACAGGAGGTTACTTACCTACCGTTCCCCAAAAAAGTCTTCCTACTGGAAATGACCTCCCATATGCACTATGAAGAACGTTAAGCCGATTAAAGGTAGGCGTTGCTAGGACTAACAGTAATTTAGTGAGATGGGATATTCAAGAAGACCAACTGTGTAGGTATGGACAGGTCCAAATAGACGATCATATATTGCAGTGTTATAGAGCCCCACATATAATTGTGGATCATAGAGATTTAATGGGTTGTAAAACAAGACGAAGAAGGAAAACTGTCGAATACTGGAATTGTGAAGGAATCTGATAAGTTGTCGACCATACGATACAGGCCCGGCTCAAGGGGTAGGCGACATAGGCCCACGCCTAGGGCGCCATTTATCTTGGAAAATTTTTATATATAAAAAAAAATATTTGATAAAATATTTACAAGTAAGGGGCGGCAAAAACTAAATTTGGCCTACGTTTGTTTAAACACTTGAGCCGGGCCTGATACGATAGAAGAAGACTTACCTACCTATAATAATAAAATAAAAATATAACAAATAATAAGAATGTCTGAGATATTTAGTAGGTAGTACCTGTGATCGTGATCACACTATATATTTACTATGATAACAACATTTTATTTATAAAAGTTAATACTCATGTCACGTATTTAATATTTTCGAGTAATTTTTTTCCATGACGACTGACACGTTTTTTTAATATATTTTAATAATAACATATATTAGCTGTACTAATATAATCAGCTATAACAGTGAACTATAGAAATCTGATTCTATAAGTATAATATATTAATATCACCATAGTCCATAAACATGGTAGTAGTATTAAGTATTAACGATAAAAGTTTTCCAAAAATATACAAAAATACACCCACCCCATATTTTTGAGAGTGCAGTGCACCTCTTGTAATTACGTCCAAGCCGCTTCTATACTTCTACATAAGAATAATTTACATTTAAATATTTTTTGGCGGCAAATCACGACGGTTAGCAACGATGAGTCAGATTAATCTATGTCAAATTTTAC